AAAAAGTTTTTTCAAGAGAAGTTGCACCAGCAGGGACTGGAATGGGTAAATACACATATTTTTACGGTTACAGCTCCGAGAATCCCTTGCCTTCCTACCACCAGCTCAGTTATAGTATTCATTAGTTTGCCCTTCTGAACTTGGCAACGTGTGCTACGCTACGTGGGTCATGCTGTTCTCAAACCCCTCTTGCCTTTGAGCATTTAAACATTCATCAAGTATATAGCTTTAAACATTCATCTTTAAACCTTTAAACATTCATCAACCTTTAAGCATTCATCAAGTATATACCCCTTCTCGTAATATTTATTTCAAGTTGATTGAAATTTTAGAAACCTCTTGACATTAAGTGTGGCTGTACCTGTTTTCCCATTATGTGTTTGTCAAATGATGGATTTAGGTGATTGTCCCAGACAAAGCAACCTCGTGGAGTTCATTCTGGGTTTACTGTGCCCATGTCGCCACTCCCATCCTGGCTTCCAGTCTCCCTACATTCAGATCCATTTGTCCAGAATGGTCTCTTCTTTCCTGGTGCCCCGTGACGAGGTATGATGGTGCCGTGTGCCACGCCACCCCTGGGCACACAGGGCCGTGCCTGCAGTGCTCTGGCTTTTCCCTTACAGCTGAAATGGACCTGCCATGATCCCAGGACCAGGCCACTCAGGAGGCTTCAGTTTCTAATCCAATGAACTCATTCCTTCATTGGGACGTAATTTTTGAAAGGCCTTGAATTCCCACATTGTACATATGGAGAAACTGAGGCTTAGAGAGGTGAAGTGGGTAAACTGAGAGAGGGCAGGAATCCTTCTCTGGCTCCCAAGAAGAAAAGTAAAATCTTGTAGTAACATTAATGTCCCAGGGAGAAGTTCTATTCTGTGGCCATGTCTTACCTCTTCCTCTACCAATGATGAAAGCGGAATGGAAAATTGAATTTTGGCAATGCAAAACTTACATTTTAAAATTAAAACAAAGCAAAAATCAACAAGTGGGACTACATTCAACTAAAAAGTGTCCGCACAGCAAAAGAAGCAATCAACAAAATGAGAAGGCAACCTGTAGAATGGGGGACAATATTTGCAAACTGCACATCTGATAAGGAGTTAATATTCAAAATATATAAGGAACTTGTACAATTCAATAGCAGAAAAAAAAAGAGTCCAATTAAAAAAAATGGGCAGAGGACTTGAACAGACAGTTTTCCGAAGAAGACATACAAATGGGCAACAAGGCCATGAGGAGGTGCTCAGTGTCACTAATCGTCAGTGAAATGCAAACCAGAACCACAATGAGATATCACCTCTTAGCTTTTAGAATGGCAGTTACCAAAAAGACAAGAGATAACAAGTGCCCGTGAAGATGTAGAGAAAAGGGAACCTTGGTACATGTTTAATAGGAATGTAAATTGGTGCAGCCACTATGCAAAATAGTATGGAGGGTCTTCAAAAAATTGAAACTACCGTATGATCTAGCAGTTCCACTCCTGGGTATTTATCCAAAGGAAATGAAAACACTAACCCAAAAAGATATGTGCATCCTTGTGTTCTTTGCAACGTTATGTACAACAGCCAAGACATGGAAGCAACTTAAGTGTCCATGGATGGATGAATGAATAAAGAAAATGTGGTGTATGTATATAAACATAGATGGACCTTGAAGGCGTTACCCTGAGTGAAATGAGTCAGATAGAGAAAGACAGATACTGTATGATCTCTCTTGTATATGGGGTCAGAAACATGGAGCTCATGGAAACAGAGAATAGGATGCTGGTTGCCTAGGCCTAGGGGTATGGGAATTGGGAAAGTGTTAGTCAAAGGGCCCAAAGATTCAGTTCTAAGTTGAATAAGTTCTGGAGATCTAATGTGCAGCGTGCTGACCTCGCTGTTCTGTATACTCGAAAGTTGCTGTGAGAATAGAGCTTAAATGTTCTCACCATAACAACAAGAAGAAAGTGATAATTATGTGAGGTGAAGGGTGTGCTAACTCACCTTATTGTGGTAAACGTTTTGCAAAATATGTGGTGCATCAAAGCATCACGTTGTACGCCTTAAACTTACACAGTGTTGTATGTCAATTAGACCTCAATAAAGCTACAGAAGAATTAAATTAAATTAAAACAAGAACCACATTAGGGAAAGAGCAGAGGTATATTCACAAAAAAGCTAGTGGAGCTTAAACTCCAGGGCCTCTCACTTACACAGCCCCTTCTGGGGCTCTACTGTTGTGCTCACATAGTCAGATATTTTTGTAAATTTTCTAAGAGTAAGATGTTTTATCTGTAAGAATATTATTATCTCTTTCCACTTTTCCCTTTCATCAAACTTTTCCATTGACTGTGTTTCTGTGCCCCCCAGCCTGATCTGTGTCTGGTATTGTCAGCCTTTGTGGTGTCGGCTGTGTGACACATAGTCTACAATAGTCCTGCCCAGCCACACTGACTCACCTAATTTCACGAAGTGGACAGTGGAGCCAGAAGTTTAGTTGCTGTGTTGAATGGTCCAGCATCAGAAATACAGCGTAGTGGAGGAGAAGCAGATTTGAAAGGTGTGCAGGCAGAAGCTAGTCCATATGTGGAAAAGTCTTCTAATCATTACGTGCATAAAATTCATCAAACATGTAAAATTCGTTAGGCCTGTAGGCAGAATTGGATTCTCACTGTCACCTAGTCAAAACTAGAGGTTTTATATTCCTTTTATATTTTATATTCCCTCTCAGAAATATAATTGACAGTGAAACATCTGTAATTATAGTAGCACACCAAAGTGAAATTACTCTGAATATATTTCTATGTGTGATCAATAGATACTCTTCTATCAAGAATTAAATCATAAGAAACTTGCAGACCAAGTCGAAAGCAGTCATTCATTGAGAGAGAGAAATTTCGAATAGAAAGTAATTAATTAAGTGATGTAATGAATCATATGAACACATTAGGAAAAGATCTAACTTTCTCACTGATTTGACAACAAATACTTCCATCAGTAAACTAGCAAAAACCTCATAACACCCCACAAAGTGAACCATCAGTGACAAGCTGGTTGAGTGTTGTCATAAAGCACTCAAGATTAACTTGCACAAGAGAATCAAAATGCCCTGAAATCTTACGACTCAAGCATGAAAGAGACTTCTGTCCCAAACTTAAACTTACGGGACATAAAAGAGTTGTGAAGCTGAATATTTTTTGCAAAACTGTTAATGGTAAAGAATACGTTTTAATCTGCTGTGCTGAAGAAATGACTGAAAAACCTTTGGACTATTTACATAGAAATTTAAAATAGTATTTGCAATTGCGTTTGTATATATTTGCATTTATATTTACATAGAAATTATTTGCATTTGAAGAGGTGATCAGAGTATGCAGCACAGAAATGTAGGAAAAGATATGGGAGAAGATACTAGGCAATAAATTAATAAAAAATTATACTTTCTTCTACACCGTGATATTAGTGGCACTTGTCAGCTTTCTAAAATTTTATAACTTGTGATTTTTTTCTCATTCATTTTCATATCTGATTTTATAATTTATTATTTTTCTCAACAGATTTTCTGCAAATTCTATTAGCTTCAGGCCTTCTGATACCTGGATCAGCTCCACTTCTAATTAATGATTCTGCTACTTGATTTTTAATGTCAAAAACAAGTTAGAAAATGTTTTAAAGCCCCAGTTCCTTCTCTTTTTTGAGAACAATGATGAATAATGAATAATGCTTGCCCAGATACCCTACAGGGTTATCAGGTTCTCAGAGAAAGACAGAGGGAGAGGAGAGAGGGGAAGTAAAGGGAGAAGGGAGGGAAGGAGGGAGGGGGGAAATAAATGACTGTATGTTGTGGACCACAAAGCAACGTGCATGAGCAAGACATGAGGTGATCTCAGTGAAACCCTGCCACAGTATATGGCCTCCTCCTGTCTCGTCTTGGCCTGTTGCTCATAATTTTATCTTTTCCTGGTGGTTTGGTATTGTCATTGTCAACATATGACCTGCACAGCCTGACTCTTTAGAGTGTCCATTCATTTTCAGGTTTAAGAAAACTAAAATCCCCAACTTGATTCAGTCACTGTATTTTGTAGATTCTGATGCAGCTGAAAACAATTTACTAAGTGATACTGAATTTGGGAAGGAGTTCAGGAGTTCTGGGGCCTCCTATTTAAAGGTCCTCATTTTAGGCCAAATCTTTCTTACTGTTTCTTCCAATGGAACATTCACAGCACCTCGTCTGCTTTCTAAGGTACAACAGGGGATAGTCTGACCGAATGTTACATCAGTGCATAACAAGAGTGACCAGCTTTCTGCTTCCAGTATCTGTGCCTTCATTGCTCAAAGCTCCACCTCTGTCAGTATCTAGTTCCGCATCTGAGGTGCAGCACCTCATTTCCAGGTACCAAATTCCGTGTAGGTCAAGGTTCTTGGTCTCAAGCAGAATTCTAGCTAGTTTAAGCAGAAACAGATTTACTGAAAGTTATCAAGTGTCTTCCAGAATCTTGGGTGTAACAATTTTAGGTATCCTCAGTCAAACCACACACGCATGCACACACAGACGCAGTGGTTCTAGGGAGCCACAGCTGCATCCGGTAGGAGCTGCATGTGAGCCCACCTTGGTTGTCTTGGAAGAACCACATGGCTCCACGCTATGCTCCCCAGAAGATACAGACCCCCTGCATGCAGTGATCACGTCTCACTGCTTAGTTGTCATTCAAGTCCTGGCTAGCCACTTCTGCTTGCTGGGGACGTAGGCCACATGCCTGCACCCTAGCTGCAAGGACACTGAACAATGTTGGGAGTCAGACTGAGTGAGGGTGAGCCAACCTGCAGAATCTTCCAGCATTTCCTGCTTCCTTGTGAATTCACTGGGAGACTTTAGGCAAGGTACTTAACCTCTCTAGCTAATCCATTAGCCTAATACCTAGCGTGAGGATTTTGGACTCCTTGAATTCCAAGAGTCCTTATGGTAATACAAATCTGCGTCAGGACAAATCTGTGTCTGTGCTCGTTAGCATTCTGGCTTCCAGTGATGGAATCCTTACATGAACCTACCTGTGAGAAGGGCCG